AACCATAGAGTTGATAGTTCCGTTAGAGTACGGCAGTGTGAAGATTGTATATAGATATTAGACAAGCGAGCTAGAACAACTTTTAAGGAAGGTGCAAATCGGTTTTTTCATCTCTCTTTACCAAACTCCCCCTTTGGAGAGGGATGGTGAGGGGTGTCCCCCCCCCCCCGCCACCACTGGCAAAAAAAGATGAAAACCGACCCGCTCATGTACCAACTGTGTGTTTGAAACAGTTCTACCGATTTTTTACCGCACTTCAGTTGTTATTTGAAGGAAGGCATCCAGTCGTAGGTTTGGAAATTGCAACTATTGTTTACCCCTACCACGATATGTGCTCCTGTCTCTCTAACGGAACTATCAACTCTATGCTTTCATCTACTCCATCTATCGTATAAAAATTACCACTACAGTCTGTTATTTGAAATTAGCATCTTCAACTATAAAGGAGGACGTTTTTCCTCAAAAATCTGACGTAATGCTACGTAGTTTGTTGACAACCCCGCAATATTAAAAAACAAAAAATCGTATTGATTCACATTCCTGAAACACGCCAACATTATCAAAATGACCTATACGTTCCTATTAACTATAAATTCCAAAATCGTTGTTAAATTGCCAAAATAGTCTAGACTAGGCCGTGTCCATATCAACCAACAAAATCAGTCCTTTATTCGGGTGTGTAGCTACTTACATAGGTTTACTACACCGCACGTGTTTTTTTAGTTAGAAGAGCATAGCAACGGGCATACAGAACAAGTTATATACAAATAAGCTTCTTATAGTAGCCACTGTGTATATCTGAAATATATAAAGCAGAAGCTTACGGATATTAAACTTATTTCGCTTGAACGTCGCTATGCTTCTCTAACTAGAAAGTCACGATCCTGAGTAGCTACGCATCCGAATCTTCCTGAACGTTAACATGCTGTATTATAGCTCCAGCTTTGTAGACCTGGAACATATGTCCGTCACTAAAACAACTATCACTACCTGTAGACCCTGAAATCCTCACACAACACACACGACAAACGCCTATGCAAGTGTTGTGCTATGGCACACATATAAATATAGTCATAAAACTCCGGATGCAATAAAAGAGTCGGATGCTGTCCATCTGACCGACGCACGTACGTACGGGTCGCAGCGCAGCACAAGTTGTTGCACCTTGTCCGATACTAATGGTCTTGGAAGGCAGGTTTGGTGCCGTTGCAAAAACCATAACTTATCATCTGTGTTCTTATGTGACCACAAGAGGACAGGAAATTCTTCATACGCCACAAACGGAAATCACTGCCCGGTTCACTGTTTGCTATAAATTAAAATGATATCCATTATTCTTCTTCGGTGTGCCATTCCGGCCGAATGGACCGGCTGATGGACATCCTCGGGCTTCGAAAAAGAATTAGTGCCGCTGTTGTGAACGCGCAATTTGTGGCGCTTATTGTTCCCGGAATTCGGAGTGAATTGACCACGTGCCGCAGCCAGCGAACTGATGCTATGTCCCGTATAATGATCCAACATCCAACGGCGGTTTGTTGATGACACTTTTTATTTCAGTGCCCGTCCTACCAAAAAAATGCGAGGCATAACAACACAAAAGGTTTTTGTTTTCAAAAACCCGAAGCGGTTCTCTGGCCGAGACAGGACGATCCTTTTTCGGTCCCAAAGTTGTGAAATACAAAAGCAAGGCACAGAGAATCAACAAGTGGTTCCTAATTTGTTTGCACTTTGCTTTGATCGCCTGGTTCTCTGGATGGATTGTGCTTTGGATTTGCTTACCTGGAACAGCAAGGAAAGGTGCACATATTGGTCAACATCGTCTGGAGCAGGGTTGCTTCGACTCAGTTCGCTGTAAAATAGCTATTTATGCGACAAGTTGCGAAAATAATTTTGCATACAACATTTTTTGTTCTGAAAAGAGTGTCGAAAAGTAGAACTTTTCGGCACTGGGTGCTGAACAGTAGCACTTTTTGAAGCTGTTATTTTAGTTAGGAAAGTAGGCCATTATGTTATTCAAAACTGTAAGTTACAAGAAGTGTTGAAAAGTATACGTTTGGCATATAAAACCTGTGTCACAATCAGAGATTTTATGATTCGTCAGCACTCATTCTGAGTGAAAACTCAAAAATCATAAAATCGCTTATTGTGACTTTCTGAATACGAAATTGGTAGATTTTATGGGCCAAATACGTACTTCTCAACCTCTTCTTGTAACTACCCTAATAAAAATAACCATAAAAGAGAGCTGACGACGTGTGGGATAGTTTACCCATCCGGGATACAGTTCGCTTATGGTACTTATGGTAGCACCCAATGATTCCATAATTCCGAAATCAAAATTTTATAGCGAAGTGAGTCGAAGCAACCCTAGTCTGGAATATGCGAAACATTAGGAGCGCTTTCGAATACCGATGCCAGGAATGAGATAATGCTATCATTCTTCTCTGACAGGGCAGAAAAGAGACCTACTGTCGCATGATAACGAAGAATGATGCATTGCACTTTTTCCTTCGTTTCTATTTCTGCGCTGGCTGAACAAACGAAATGCGTTCGGTTTAGAGACCTGAAAGGTGTGCTCACACAACTACATATAATGTTGTTCAGTATCTCGCGTGTCGGTGTCACTCATGAATTCTTTCTCTGTAGAACGACACTGACGACCGCGCGACGTAGCGTTTCCACCGCGAGGGAAGAAGCCTTAAACGAAAGAAAGGAAATGGTGGCACGTGTGTCAACGTATCGTGTGTTTTATCTTTACACGCATTCGGTAAATAAATATAAAAAACTGGCTACGCGACTCTCATGCAATTGGATGTGGTCTGAGCGGTAGAATCGAGGCATAAACTCTGTATAACACGGTAGGATGAAATAATTTAGATAGGATCTTGAGAATAGAAGGCTTTACTGAGGCAAAAAAAAACTTAAGGTTTCCATAAGGCTTGGCTAACACTGAACCAATATGACATATTCTTGTTATGAGGAAGTCTAATAAATTTGCGCTATAAGATAATCAAATGAAAATGATATGATTGAAAATGTGTCAGGTAAATTCTATATGAATATCTGATACATTTACAATGCTGATAATTTGGTAACTTTTATATGATCGTCATATGATAAATGAAAATCGGTCAAATTATAATAATTAACTGAAATGGATTTGAACCCATAAGCATAAGCTTTACTTTTCACCACAATATAATATATGTGTCATATATCAATCGAAGTAATCACATTAAATTGACTTCTTCTTTTGACACATATATTTAATCGATTTCTAAAAATAAATCGAAAAATAAACATTAGGCAGAGAGATTTCACAGTTTTGTCTTTTTTTATTGTAGCTGATTTGGGATTCGATCAAGAACTGTTGAGGTGTGATGCTTTCGGTGTCTGCGCTCGATTCCACTGGGCCACGGCTGATTTCAAGATTGAGCTCGTCCAATTAGCATAAAGTAAGAACAGCTCTCCCGACATGGAATGTAGTGCAACGTTATGCTCGTTTTGCTAGAGTGAAGAAAAATAGCACTGACAAATTTATGCTCCGTTTCGGTGCTGACGTGTATTCAAATCTTGCTTAATGCTTCTGTGTGCAATAAAACAACGGCTACATTATATGAGTTCATGGAACTGATTCATGAAGTTCGAGTACTAGTGCTGGAATCTACATTAGCCGTGCACACTAAGATTTTGTTTCCGTGTTCGGTAAATTTTACCGAAATTAGAACAACTGAACATTCGGTAAAACTTTGACCTTCATTTAAAAGGCTATTGAATTTGAAAATAGTTTCAAAACATGTTTAACCTTGTTTAAATGATCAACTCTTGTCATTTTAGTAGAGATTTAGTTTGAAAGTAGCTTTTACCCTTCAAAGTAGCTGTTCAGATTTCGGTAAAAATTACCAAAGTCGGCGATAATTTCTAAGTGTGTCTAGAAGGCTTACAATTAGGATCTTAGCAAATATTTTTTTTTCAATCTTAATACATTCTCTTCCGGAACCCATTATCTTATGGAACAATAACAAACAAGGATTATTCAATACAGTATCATTGTTGTTAGCTATTTTTAGTTCGACTAATAATTTTAATGAGAGTACGATAACACCGTTGAAAATTGTTTCAATACTTGATGAAGAACAATCATGTAAGATGTATTTTATTAGGAGTGATATTCATCCCAGAAAACCATGCTAAAACAAATGTTTGCTGTTGGATTTCTTAAAAGGAAAATCTATATGACTATAAATCTGTTTATCAGTGTTCACTCGGCTGTCGACAAAAGCAGGCCACTCTCGATGTGTGCTACGCGATCGTCTGTTTTCTCGGCAGCAACCATTGTGTGGTCCTCCTCATTGTTCTTCATCAGCAGTTCTTTCGGTCGATACGTCGTCGACTTTGGAAAGCAACCGTTTCGTGATGAGTGTGTGAGTGCTGACCACGTTTTGCATCCATTGCTGCAATGGACGCGCTCTGACCCTCGTTGGCGTACAACAATTTGCCATACAATGAAACTACTGGAAGCGGCTCCAGTTCTGATGGAGGAGGCTTTTTGGATAGCGGAAGATAAAGTGTTTATTGTGTTGTACCTTTTGACTATAGTTTTAAGATGTATTGTATAGTGACCAAGAATCCTCGGCTCTGTAAAGTTAATTCGGTTGAGCCTTATCAAATAAATGAATAAACAATTAATTATAGATCTGTTTACAATCTTTAAACGTCAAAAATCAAAGGAAGCTATTACAATGAAATATACATGTTTTCCTATACTGAAAAGTTAAATTACTGTCCAATAGTTTCTACATGTCTGTTTACACGCGACATATCATCGAACGTCAAAAATTGACGATTTTTTTGTACAGTGTTATCACAGGCATCGGTGGTATCATTACATTTGAATGTTTAAATGGGAAAATTCATTCTAAACGCTTTTCGGTTTCGTTTGCCTTTTTTTCTGAATATGTTTCAACTTAATTGATTTTAGCAATTCGTTCTTAACATCCCTAAAACAAACACTGAATGAGCACATTGAAAAATTTATAAATTAATGTATGAAAACATTCGTGACAAACCACAACTTTAAAATCATCATGCTTCAGATACTCCTTCAGCCGAGCTTTAACATTTTTCCTGTTCTGATGCAAGAATTTGGTAAATTTTTGTTTGTATACCCTGAAAGCATACACTCCAGATTTAACAGATTACTTCCAGGAAAACAGGATGCATTTATCAGATGGCAGAAACGATAAATGGAATCCGAATCGTTATTTGTTTCATCTTTGAGGATTGTAAGTTGCTTAATGCATTTCTTATGACGAAGTTTGCGGACAACTGCTCCGAGTATGTATGCGAGGTCGTTCATTTCTTTTGGTGTTAAGATATTTTCTTCTTTGAGTGGTTCAAATTTATATTTGAAAATTCGTCGGGGCTCGGGAGCTGGAGCCAAGTCATTTTCGGCGCAAGTTGGTGTTGCTTCATCAGGTTCACAGTTGGTGCCTTCTGAAACGTTTCCAGAAGCTAAAATTGCACCGTATGTGAAGGCTGCTGCAAACTGGTATGCGTTCGGTGCATGCTTGGCATGCACAGTTGTACACACCAACTGCTCATTTGGTAATAACTTTTCACTCAGATGTTGAAATTTATTTTTCTTTAAAGTAATTGATAGATTAGGCTCATAGTTTACTATAGTTATGCGAAGATTAGGTAAAGCTTAACATTTGAATCAACGCTAATCAATTTAACACTTAAATTCCGAGATGTGTAGTGACCATTTCTCACCTCATTTTTACAACGCAAAAACAAATACAGTTTACTACTAACATTAAAATCTAGTTTTTTGTTTACATATCTATAAAAAGCTTACACTCTATTCTATCTACTGCTTCAAAAAGAACTATGTTCCGTCAACTGTGTGCAAAGTTATTAGCAAATGAGCAGTTCGTGACCAAAACTGTGTATGCCAAGCATGGTTCGGTGCATCATTTCGTCCACAGCGTCTTCCGATTTCTGAAAACAAATTTTCGATACAATCCTGACAAAGATGATTGCTGCATAAGAAGTCATTTTCATTTTCATTTTCATTTTATGATGTACAAGGAGGTCAGGGGCCATGTCACCGATGTGAATATTCACACCATCCATAATACACCAGGGAAGGGGAGAGGAGTGAGCAACACAGCATCTTTACCCATGGGGGTTATAAAAGTTCTGCGAGGTACAGTTATGGTGAACCAGCGGCTCAGGGATTGTAGAAAGGAAAAGGGTTGGGTAGGTTTAAAATGCAGAATTAGATGCCGTCACGATTGAATGCGCATGTTTAAACAACGTTGATCCAGGTACCTATCATATAAATTTGCATATAATCTAGTTATGATTATTGTCAATAATACTTACATTTCGATAAAGATGATGCTGCCTACTTTACCTGTTATGTGATACTTATCATCACAGAGTCCAACCTTGAATCGCAGACCAGGTCCACTAACAAAACACTCGTTCCGAGAAGGGGTTTATGGTCTTCTTCTTATTCTTTAGGTTCGCTCACCACCCGGAATGAAGGCTCGGTGCGGTTAGTAATATCAAACAGTGTTACATGCAAACGAAAAAACGAAAAAGAGATACAACCAGGATTAGATTTTTAAAGTAATAGTTTCATCTGAATACCCAACTAACCATATCTCAGTGACATTGTACCACTCTGAACCCACACCTAAAGCTATTTTGTGATTATATGGTTACTTTGGTATTCACATGAAATGTTGTGCAAGTACCAGAAGTTCAACAACGCCCAACTATGGACAGCTCAATGTTAATACCATTTACTCTTTGAATCAGCTTACACCAACATGATAATCTACTAAGAAACATCTAAGAATGTATAGAGATAAAGTTCAAAAATACAGTTTTAACTGATGGTACTTTATAAACGTCAAACTGTCCAATATTGGACCCTGCCAACACACGGCGCCTGCACGGCAATGTGGGCCGTCAGAATGGTTCATCGGTTGCGAAGTGAAGTACTTCTTAAACTGAAGCGATACATTTCTCAATGTTTCAACGTTATCCTAACGTAAACTTAATATTATCACCCATATGCCTGTCCACGCCCGAAACCCATCCACCACACAAAATCAAATAAAAATGTTTCTGTATGGCAAACACGTCCAGACATAAACGAGAATATGGGTGTATATCTTCACTGTAACAACTACGGGTAATCATCGAAAATACTTACATTTTACTCAGGCACTTTTGAGCAAACTGCAATCACTCTCTCATACTCGAAATGTGCCACGACCAAATTGGCACAACGACGCCCTATACGCTCTCTGACCAAAGCGCAGGGAAGATGATTGCTGCATAAGAAGTCACAATCGAAATCTTCCTTTAATTTAGTGAGCCACCATTTGATCCCGTTGATGTTGCCAATAAATCCACCAAGGTAATTGGGTTTACGATGCTTTCTTGTTAAATTTATAGATGCTTTTTCAGCCTACGAAAACATAAGTGATCATTAATTATAGAATGTTGTTCACATAAATGGAATATTTATGCTTTTGTTGATTCAATTTCATGTTGGTTTTATTAGCGGGGGGAGCTCACCATCGCTCGTAAATATTTAATACCTTTTTAATGTCGATACAATCCTTAGATGTGTAATACATACGAAAAAGCATTTCGTTTGCTGGTTCAAGGAAAGGCCAATGGCATGAGTTTTCCGTTATCGCTCCACGATATGGCTGTTTGAACAATGAAAATCTAAGGTTTAAGCTAAAGATAATTGTGATTTATGAAAATGCAGGGTTATTGGTATCCTGCAGTTGAATGTGTCGAAAAGTTTATCATTAAAACGAGCACAAGCAGCAGTTCTCAAAGTGGCCAACGGTAGATCTTCAGAATCGACGTAATATTCGATACCTGTTGCAACTGAATTACTCAAAGTACGCGTTACACCTGCGCCACGTTCATTGCTAGAAATGGAGCTTGATTTATGAACTTTTCTTTTAATTTAGGAACAAGTCTCGACGCCGATGAATGGTCAATGTCGTAGAGCTGTTTAGTATGTTTGAATGAGCATATTCCTCCATTGAAAACAGCATTATGCTTTGTAAGCATGCTTTTTGCATTTTTTAAAAGATGCGGGCTGTCAAACATGATAACCATTTCTTGTCCACATAAGTTGACAATTGGATTATCTTGAGATGCACCAGCCTCTTGAGACATTTTAACATTTGTTGTACATTGGTCTATGGCTAGAGCCAATGGATGTAGTCCTTGAATCTGCAAGGCGTTGATCACGTCTTCTACCATACATAGCTGAGCATCACTCCTTAGAGTATGGTGTGCTAAAACGTATCCAATTGCCTGCAGAAAATATAATAAAATTGAGAGGTTTTTTTTTATTGATTAAAGATAATGTTGACTACCTGCTTGAACCTTTTGTTTCCATTATTTACCTTACAATCGTTACATACATCCCAATGATCTTTATTCCACGTAGTTTTACCAGACACCATGATTACAACAGCTTCAGTAGTAAGAATCAGAGGATTGTTGTTCTCGTACTTGGAGCTTTTACCATCATCAGGAAATCCAACAAAAGTGTCAGTCTTGGCATTATAGGTCAGTTCTGCCTTAATGGACATTCCATCAATGGAAATAGTGACAGCTTTTTCTCTTTTTGAAAAGTACTTTGCTTTCGATCCTAATCGGTTCAGAATTGTTGTGTTGATTGCGGGTTCCATGAGAATGTCAGAATTCCATTGGTTGATTGACATCTTGCTGGGGGAGATGAACTATTCTGGATCGCTGGACGAATCGATATGCTGAGGGTCCTGCGAAGAATGCTCCGAGTGCGAATTTCTTTGATTGGACGTTATATCGGCGCCCGTATGGTTTCTGCGATGAATTCAGCAGGCTGTTGTGTAATATTGGATTACTTCGAACTAGTTTGGCAAGTTTTGAGTCATCATTACGTTTATGCTGAAGTCGTTTTACCTGCCCTTCAATAATTTGTTTTTCTTCCGGTATTCCATCCATTTTGACGATCACTTTTCCGTAGTGATTTTTTAAATCGCAAACAGTACCACGCAATCGCATGTTCTCTTTTCTTCCGCTTTTGAATAAGTATTCGAAATCCGCACTGATAACAGTTGTGCCCGCAGTATTGGAGATGCACTCAACATCGAGGATGTCATCATTTAACCGAACATCTTGCATGTATCCATCCAGATCAACCACTGATTCTCCAAGCGATCCGGTTGAAAGATGCTGGTCAAGCTCGTTTTTCCAGACTGGTGTCATAGACGTCTCGTTTGTGTATTCTACGTCTTCGTATTCAGTTTCCATTGTCTCCTCCAGATATTTCACTTCCTCTTCAATCATGCTCTCCTCAAGATATTCCATTTCCTCATACTCTGTATCCATTGTCTCCTCCAGATATTCCACTTCCTGTTGAGTCATGCTCTCCTCCAGGTATTCCTCTTCCTCATATTCTATCACATCTTTAGACAACATTAGCAGATCTTCTCTTCTTTCATTTTCCGGAAAGAGCTCACACCTACCCTTATTATCCGGTTCATTTATCCTCGATGGGATTGCATCGTACAGTAAACTGGAATAACATATTAGTAAATAAGCCATGATATTTATTTATTCAGTACATTGTTATAAATACTAACCCTTTTTCTGACTGCAGAGAACTTCTAAATGAAGAGGAGTGGAAGTGATCCGAACAAATTTTCAGCTTCCAGATGGATGCAGAACCATCAGTGTGATATGTAGTATTCAATTCCTTTGAGCAGCACGACTGAAACCATTGAACGCACCTGGAAATGCAAACTGTTTTTTTTTTTATTATTTTATAAACAAACTGCTCACCACCATTGCGAGGAAAAAAGTAAAAAAAAAAATCCAATATTTTTACCTTGACGATTTGTACAATAATTCATTTCACATTTTCTGCGTTTCAAACACATGCACGTAAGTGTACGATAGAAATTAAATTGCAAAACGTCAAAAATTGCAATCATGCGCGCCACAGGTGGCTGCAGTGCCAACTATTCGTATAGTTAAAATAGCCGTTAATTGGATATACCATAATATACATGATGAGTGTTATGTCTGTTTGTCTGTGACTGCTTAGTGTAGTCGAAATACGTTCCTGTCATATATACCAAAATTCATTAAGTGGAATTAAATGGAAGATAACTTTTTTTGCTTTTTTTTAACTCTTTATTTGTTCCAAATTCAAAATAAATTGCATTTCATTTTAACCTAGGTGCTCCAGTTACTACAGTAACTTACCAGCCTTAATTGTTATGATATAGCTAAGTGTTTTAACATTGTTCCTGTCTTGGCAATTCAGTATTTTAAACAGGTTTTTTAAACCTGCTTGTCAGTATAACAATTGATATCTTAAAACTAAAAACTAATACTAAGTATCTAAGTATAAAGGGAATTAATCGTTGCAATTGAGGATTGCAACGATTTTTGCCTGAAATTATTAATTATTTTGTTGGACATTTGTTCTAAAGTCTCAACATTCAAAATTCTATGTACTTCGGTAGTACTGTACCAGGGAGGCAACTTCAAAATCATCTTCAGAACTTTGTTTAATTTATTAATCATAAGTGGTTCTTATGGAATTCTTCAGTTTATTTACCTCATTGTAGTAAATATGAACACGCCAGTAATCATATCCGCAATATTTACACCGTATTACATTTGTTATCCTTCCGTAAAGGGTGTATTCGATAAAAATGGCACACCGAAAAATCTTCTGTAACTTTTGAACCGTATGAGTAAAAATCCCGAAAATCTGAGTACATCTTATTCATAATGTATTGTTTACATCTGTCAAGTTTCATAGTTATTCATACAGTAGTTCCAGTCATGTCGCCGAAACAAGAAATAGTCCGTGAAAATCTTGTGTGCACTTCCAATCAAAATCCAGAGGCGTCCTACCGATGGATCGCTAAAAAGCTTGGAATTGCAAATACAACTGTGACTCGTGTGACAAGAACCTTCAAAGGGCGCCTGAGTGCCCGAACGAAGGAAGGGAGTGGTCGTAAAAGTGGTCCAATGGACAGTAAAATGGCCAGGAAAGTGGTGCAACAGTTCACGAAGCATCCACACATGTCAATCCGAGATGTCGCTAAAAAGTCCAAGGTGTCAATCGGTTTTGTGCAGACAACCATGAAGTGTGCTGGGTTACATGTTTGCAAGGTGCAAAAAGCCCCAAACCAATGAAAAACAAAACATCACTGCGAAAACCCGCGCCCGGAAACTTTACACGAAGTTGCTCACCAAATCGTGTGGCAAGAATATTTCGTTGCCAAGTCTAAGTTCGATGTTCCGGAGGATGTTCGAAAGAAGAAATTCCCGGAAGAGTGTCTTGCCATTCATAAGAAAGCACAAAGGATCAACTCTGTTTTGGCCTGCATTCTGGCACTACGATCAAAACGTGTTGGAGTGGTATTAACAATTAATACGAAAGTAACGATTTTAAATTGGCTCACTACTTGATTAGCCTATTGGTCCCAAGGAAATCGATTAACGTACCCCATTCTAGTCGAAATTCTAGTACTACACAATGTTTGTTTTGATTCGCTATGAAAGTTTGACAGATAAAATGAGGGGTTCGTGGATTTTCCTATGTTTCGAGGGGTGCATCGATTAGCTTGGGACCGAAGATAGTACCAGAGCTGAGCTAAAAAGTTGAGCTCGTTTCTTCGGGACCTTCTAGTTTTAGAGTTACCTTTATGGTGGTACCGAGCCAACGAAGTCAATATTGTGCCAAAAGATATGAACCCACCAAATTCTCCGGAACTTCGCCCAATTGAAAAATTCTGGGCAATTATGAAGACGGAACTTCGACAACATCCCAAAACTATTAAAACATAGCTGGAGTTGGAGAAAATTTGGATAAAAACAACAAAACCATTGGGAAAATCGGTTGTACAAAATTTGATAGGGGTAGTGAAAAGAAAAGTGCGGACATTCGAAATGGGAGACGAAATTAAATATAACAAGTTTTGTAAATCATAACTCATTAGTACATTATCTGAAAACTTCAAGAAAACCCGATAATCGGTTTAATTTAGATGAGTAAATATGTGTGTGCCATTTTTATCGAATACACCCTTTATAACTAAGGGTTTAAAATTGGATTTTCCGGCACCGGTGGTGTAGTGGTAAGCGTGACTGCTTCTGATCCCAATGGGCATGGGTTCAATCCCAGCCGAGGTCGGTGGGATTTTTCTGAGGCATACAAATCTCTGGTCACGTCTTCCTTCGGGACGGAAGTAAAGCCATAGAGGTAACTCTAAGACCAGAAGGTGCCGAAGAAACGAGCTCAACTTTTTGGCTCAGCTCTGGTACTATCTTCGGTCCCAAGCTAATCGATGCACCCCTCGAAACATACGAAAATCCCCTCATTTTATCTGTCAAACTTTCATAGCGAATCAAAACAAACATTGTGTAGTACTGGAATTTATACTAGATTGGGGTACGTTAATCGATTTGCTTGGGACCAATAGGCTAGTCAAGTAGTGAGCCAATTTAAAATCGTTAGTTTCGTATTGATTGTTGGTAAAGCCGTTGGTATCCGGCCCATGTGTCTTGCGATATCCCAACACACATGTTTTATAACAATTTGTATAACCTTTGTGTGACTGGTATTGACAGGTGTCTCTGAACCTTTCCAGGATAAAAACTCTCCGTTCTTCTCATGTTTGAATCCTAGCCAGGACGTGCATCTCAGAATTTCTAGTTCTCGGGGGACTGTTTAGGATCATCCTAAGGATCTTGTTCTGGATCCTTTGGAGTTTAAGGCGATGGCATTTGGTGCAACTCTCCCAGATTGGCATACAGTACTCGATTACGGGAAGGATGATTTGTTTGTAGACAGCAAGCTTATTTTTCAGGGACAGGGTAGACCTCCTGTTGATGTGTGGATACAGTGGTCTTATTAAGATATTACACTTGGTTTTCATTTTGTCAACGTGTTCCCTGAAAATCAGCTTGCTGTCTAGTGCTAAGCCGAGGTAGACTACCTCTTTCGATCATTCAACCACTGTGCCGTTCAGGCAGATCTTATTATTCTCCGACGGAACATGTCTGGGAGATTTCGAGTGTGGAAAGATAATGACCTGGGTCTTTGCCGCGTTGATACGGATCTTCCAGCTGATGAAATATTCAGACAGGACGTCCAGGCCTCTCAGAAGTATGGCAGCCAGAACTCCGGTGACCCTACCCTTGTAGACGATGGATGTGTCATCTGCGAACATATCGGAGGTGAACAGGTAGAATAAAATGGGGCCAAGAATGCCATTCAGAGAGACTCGGAACGTCCTGTCCGACAGATAGTTGTTTATTACTTTACTAGAAAGATTGGAAGACCGTACTGCTGCAATTTGAACACCAGGTCATCATGCCAGATATTGTCGAACGCTTTTTCAACGTCCAACAAACGCCATGGTAGATGTTTTCGAAACAGACTTGTTCCGTCTGATAATGTTTGTTACTCGAGTCAGCTGGTGGACGGTCGAACGACCTTTCCGAAGAACAAACTGTTCCACGAGTAACAAGTTGTTTTCTTCGGCAGATATTAGGAGCCGGTGGTAGACTGCTCTTTCGAACAGTTTTGATAACCCTGGGAGAAGGCTAATTGGTCGATTGGTCCGTCCTCTGATCCTTCCAGGTTTTCGGATGGGTATGACTTAAGCTGACTTCCAACACGAGGGGAAGTAGCTAAGTCAGAGGCACAGATTAAAAA